GGGACATTGTGTTGTGTTCTTAGGCAAGACACTTTACTCTCACAGTGCCTCTCTTCACCCAGGTGTATAAATGGGTACCGGCAATTTAAGGCTGGGGGTAACCCTGCGATGGACTGGCACCCCATCCAGGGGGGAGTAGAAATACTCCTAGTCACTTCATGCTACAGAAACTGGAGTTAAGCACTGGCCAGATAATGGGCGACTAGGCTCGTAAACAGACTTTACCATAGTCACCCCTGCTTTTCTAGCAATTCAGACTACAGAGCCTATTATCATGTGGAAAGTTTTTATTAAGTTGATTGTTTAAATACTTACGGGCACAACTCAACCTCCAAATATTTCTCCTTATCTCCGAGGAAGAAAATTTCAGCCACTAAGTTAACAAAAAAAGTGAAAGAACATTTCAAGCACAAAATCAATCACAATTTAACTTTATCATATAAACTTCTACAAGAGTTACACATGCATTACTTCTTGGTCCTTAATAAGTTTAAATAAGATTAATGAGTGTCTTCAAAATAAAAAGACAATTGTAAAATTTTGCCACATATGCCTGTCTCACATTCAAGCGATGGCATGATGCATGTCATCTTCCATTCCAACACAGACTTCTTATTTTACCACTGATGCTACATTACACTTCCTGGTATATACCAATACCACTTCCAGGGGTGAACCATGTGCAATTTCTCCCTTAAGTATACCTACAACATCGACCAAATGGGTGATGAGAATTATGAAAAATATTACCTTGGGGAAGTGTTTAATACCAAATTCCTAGAGCTTACTTAGTGCAGAGAATTTGTGTTATTCTTATTTAAATCTTTAGAAAGTTCAGGATATTTGGCTAGAATGACAAAGAAAATCCTGAGGTCCTCTCTTTACAGACTTAATATATCAAATGTTAATATTAATCAACCTTCATATTCCCACAGTTCTGGACAGGGACCTCCTGAGGCCACTGCTGGGGGTCCAGGGTCGTTAAATAAAGGTCCACTCACATCAACCCTGACTGAGGTCCCATCTGCTGCACCAACTCTAAACACCACTGGGCTGTGATCCACTGGATCCCCATTCCAGTTTGTTGTTATAGAAAAGGTTAACTCCTATGGAAATAAAACCTATTTCTGTCAAACATACCACAGTTCAATTAACACTGATCAACTCAGAAGCAAATGATTTGACTGTATGACTACATTCTTTAGTAGATTAAAATCCAGAACACTCCCGGTAAAATATCTTTAGAAGCATGAGGTCCTCGAAAACAAGTTGATTTGGCTTTAGTAGAATTTTAAATGAAAAGTATACAAGCTGAGATAAAGGTATGTAAAACTAAGGGCGCGATCCATTCAACCAAAATTTCCGGAAATTTCGGTCTAAAACTGAATGGATCGGTTCGGTCCAACCGGAAAGGTTTCGAAAAAACTGGCCCACCTTTCGAGGTGGACCACTTTTCTCGGTTGGACCGGTCCGCTTGGCCCGGAAATTTTGGTTGAATGGATCGCGCCTTAAGTAACTCGAATTTACGACTGTCGATCTCAGTTTTTCAAGTCTTCTACGATGCCTTCTATTTACGGCAGCTGTGCAACTAAATATTTCCATTAAAGCCCAACTTTCAACGGTTGTATATATTGTAAAGCAGTGCATGTACTTCACCTTGCAACCATTCATATCCGCTTGGGAGAACTTTCTCTGTCTAAGGCCTCACTTTCATGTAATTTTTCCCGGAAGTAAAATTCATCAGTGTCAGATATCAATATCCGGTGTAGAACCCGATCTCTTTACGACGATCGCTCGTCTATTCCTTATCAAATCACCCATATTTTTATATTGACGAGCCGGCGAGATTTCCCTACAATACTATAACCCGAAACTTCATCATGTATACAATTATTCAAAAGAACAAGCGATAGCACAATAGTTTGCCTCTAGGAGAAATGCTTTGTTTAGGAATAGTATGGGGTCCAGCGGAAATCTTTCCTCGAAAATTTGGTCAGAGTTAATGAAACTAATAAAGGTTAGTTGAGCGACCAAAAACAACAGGCTAAGACCCCCTGACATTCGCTTTCAAATTTTTTTTTGTGTCTTGATTTTAGCGGTTAACTTTCTGGTTAATTTAAATGTGGCACCAAGCAAGTGATTAAGTTTTAGGTCATTCATGCCCAGAGCATATTGATTGACCGCGTTTGGTTTGATAAAGATTCCGTCATGTGCGTTAGAGCCTCGCCTTTAGGGGGAACCCTTTCGGGAACGGTACTTCTCAAAGGAATGGAATTTTTTGGTTGTAAAAATTCTGTGGCAACAAGTAATGCCGTGAACTCCCAATAAAAGTTTTTAAAAAAACTTCCAAAAGGTTCTATATGGAGGGAAAATGTCCTTTTTTAAAGTAAATTCATCACTTCACTGATTCTGTGGCATTGTATGTACTTGTGACTTTGAACACGATATTATTGGCGGATCCAGACCTTGAACTAAAGTGGAGGGGAGGAGGCGTTTTTTTTGTGAAATGTTTAGCAAGCAACCGTGGACGATAATCCTACTCTTGTACGTTGGATCAGCAGTGATCTAATCGGCCCAAAATAACGAATATAAATATAGAGTCAAGACCGATACACTGCACCTGAAGAAGACTGGTCTGGCCAGCCGAAATATAGCGCTCCGTTTTGAAACTTATCTACGTTGTATTGGTCTTGCCTCTATATTTATATTCGTTTTTTTTCTTTATTTTTTGTGCGTGTGTGCACCTTCCGCATTTATGTTTTTACCCAAAATAAGGGGAGCTGGGCCCCTCCCATGGATCCACTACTGGATATGTCCACATTACATCAACTATAACATGGTTTAGCTAGAGAAAGGATGTGTAATTTTTGTACCTCAATGCGACTCACGAGATGGTGCGTAACGAATCCCTTCAATTTTCATTTTCAGCAAAGAAAGTCGCTCTCTGATATCTTCAAGATAGGAGATTCATATGTCCAGTCAGAATTGACAAAAATTGTTCACAATAAATTTTTAAACTTTATGCCCTCTTACCAGATCATAATATTCCTTGAGAAGTGTTAGCAATACATTTTCAGATCATCTTGATCTTGTAGTTACACACGAATCATTTACATATACCTGAGTCACTGTGATGGTGTCAATTGCAGGTCTTAAAACGACCACAACTACGAAATAAAGGTAATTAAGAGCGAATGTTACCAATGGTCAAACATTTGGTGGCAACAGCTGAAAAATCAATGTCGCCCATATTTGAAAGTGAAGTAGGTCTCAATGGGAAATAAACCACTGCATACTTCGTTTGGCTGAATATCGATTTATTTTCGAGAAAATCGATAACAACTGAATTCCGCCAAAATGTGACTTTTAAGGCTCAAAATTTTCGACGCATCTCGGAGCGATGAATTTGAAAGAGAAAAATTAGTAGAAAAATTTATGGTAAACGTTGTAGTCTTAACCTTAATCTGACAACAGAAAACACATTTGTAGCTCGAAGGAAGGAAGAATCCAAAAATAAGTCGTAATCTTGGTCTTAATTATTTGTCTCAAGAGTAACAAGCATACGGGTCATAAGAAACTCCTTTTACTTGTTCCCAATCTCCTGTAGATTTCAGAGCAAAAGGACTATTACTCACTCTTTCAGAAGTCGGAGGGGACATCCATTTTTATTGAAATTACAATTTGGCTGAACCAATGACTTGGCTCCGAAAAACGTAGATAAAAAGCATCCCCTACTCTTTAATCTTTTCCTTTTCCATCATCCCTTTCTGGGCCGGGCATGGCACTCCCGGCCCGCAGCTGATCAGTAAAGGATTGGAAAGAGTCAGCTTTTGGCAACCCCAAGCGCAACATCACACGACATTTGTTACAAGAAAAGGCTTTTAATACTTAACATAAAATCTTTTGTAGTTAGCTATTTACCCTCGGCAGAAATACATTTTTTTCGGATTTAGGAATTAAAATAAGTAGCTGGTGAAATGAATAAATGAATGATACGTAAGAAGTAAATAATATGTAAAACGAACTAGTGAATACCAATAATAAACGATCTAATGATTCAATCAGGTGAAGTTCAATAGAATTCTTGTTCAGGAGGCTTTTCAGTTAAAAGATCCTAACTCCTCCCTCATCACAATAACTACAACTGCCATGAGAGGCCTTTGATTTTTCCGTCTTTACATAGCCTCATCTAAACAAAAGGAAGGTTAGGAAAATTTGAGTGAGTTATGACTTAACAGCGGGTGCGCATAACTTTCGTGAATCCTCCCAACTCCACGAGCGTTTTGGTGAGGCTAGGTTACACAGAAAAAGGTTACAATAATAACCCCTTTATTTAGACACGATAATGTTTAAAGCTGAACAGCTTGTGGGGTCGTGTGTAAATGCAAATAAACTCTAAATTAAATAAATTCAAATGATAATGGTTTTTGAGGAGAGGGGAAAACGGGAATATCTGGAGAAAAACCTCTCGGAGCAGAATCAACAAACACAATCCACTTATGACGCCGGGTCCGGGAATCGAACCCGGGACACACTGGTGGAAGGCGAGCGCTCTCACCACTTCGCCAACCCTTAATTAGGCATGTGTTATATCGTTTGAATTACTGTTTTGGTCGGTCGCATTACACTAGTGTTGAAACGATGACTGCGGATGAGCTAAGCTCTGTGGACAGCAAATGGTGCTCATCAGGTTCAACATGCAAACGTGACTGATTCTAGATTTGAACTATTTAAGGGGTATTTTTGGCCTGGGAATGAAAAAAAGATACGGTTGTAACAATATTGGAGATTATCTATTAGAGTTTGACCATTTATTTCCTTAAACGAACAGGATGAATGTGAGCTACCAGTTTGGTGCAAGTCGGCTAAGAATTTTGCAAATTTTTGCGTTTCAACGAGCAAGCGGCGGAAACCAGATGGGACGAAGTCGATTTTTTTTTTCACCAATTGCCATAATAGCCTTCCTTAAAACCTCTCTTATCGAAGATTTCCTCGTCAGAGCCCAGTTACACAACCTCAGGTATCGTGCTTATTGGTTCTTCCGCGCGTCACGGATCATAAAACTAACAGACTAACATGTAACGACTTCTTTCTTGAATGGAGACAAACAGTTTACCGGAAAATTCTGTTGTCTTCTTGAGAGGCCTATTAGGCCTAAGTTCCAATCAAGTAAAGTTTAAACTGATGATGTATCGAAAAAACGACCCATTGAGTTCATTCACGCTTGAAAATTTGAAATAAATGAGAAGTTTCATTTATTTACGTATTTTTTTCTTAACGAAGCCGTTGTCTAAAATGCCGCGAACCCCCCCTAATCCAACATTTCCTAGTCAGAGCCCAGTTACACAACCTCAGGTATCGTGCTAATTGCTTCTTCAGCGCGTCACGGACCATAAAACTAACAGACTAACATGTAACGACTTCTTTCTTGAATGGAGACAAACAGTTTACCAGAAAATTCTATTCTATTCTTGTGAGGGCTGATAGGCCTAAGTTCCAATCAAGTAAAATTTAGACTGATGATATATCGAAATAACCACTCATTCAGTTCATTCAAGCTTAAAAATTTGAAATAAACGAGAAGTTTCATTTATTTACGTATTTTTTTCAACAAAGCAGTTGTCTAAAATGCCGTGAACCCCCCACCCACCTACCTCCCCATTTGAATTTGTTTAACTTGCGTATTATTCGTAGCACGTATTAAATGACCGATAATTTTAATTTTAAGATTTCATCTTTACAATTTTAAGATCGACTTTAAATTCGAAACTCAACCCATTTATTGATTTAAATTAGGCTACTAACTTTCATATGCAGCAACAAACTTGACATTTGGTTTAGCTAGATTCAAATAAGGGCCCCCTGTGCCTGTCCACGAGTGTGACCAATTGTGAGATTAGCGTCGAAATGGTTCTGACAGCGTTTTAAAAACTTTTATTCGTTGTTGTTTTGTGCAATTCTCGTCAATAAATCAGCTGCCTATCGATGGAAGACTGTTGATTTTTATTAAACTTCTGCCGATAGACTGAGAGATAACTATTTTTACACTGATGGACTGAAGAAGATAAAACAAAACTTAACTTTCATAGCATATTTTGAAGAAACTTTGAGATGTTTTTTGTGTCACAAGTGCCTTTCCTCAAACAGACGCCGCAAACCAAAAAGTTAGATGTGCCTGTCAATAAGCTGCATATTAAGAGAAAAATGTGAATAATTGCATGAATAAAAATATAAGAAGAATAAGCACCTGAGCAACAGTCAGTAACATCCGTTCGCTGGCAACGGCAGGCAACTGAAAATTTCATACGGTTTCCATACTTGATTTCTGTTGTTATTTTACACCAAATAAACATGAGTGATGGCTGCCAAGACGAACATCTCAGCAGTGCTGCATCCATCGTTCTATCAGTGTGGTTCTCCTTGTCTGGCTGTCTCGCTGTCACTGGAAATGTCGTTGTGTTGTGGCTGTTCTACAAAAACGAGTCTTTACGAACAATTTCCAACCGCTTTTTAGCCTCGTTATCCGTGGCGGACGCTTTTGTCGGCCTTGTTGTAGATCCTGTTTGGATTGTTATCCGATGTTGGATTCAGCCACCATTTGAAAGCCCTTTGCTTAAGATGAGTATAGTGTTGTGGGCTCACACATCCGCGGCCAGTGCTTTGAACTTGTGCTGTGTTTCAATCGACCGTTTTATTACGATTCGGTTTCCCTTCCGGTATCAGGACATTTT